CTTTTGCGGACTAGCAACTTTTCATTTGTCGGGTCACTGAAGTCGGCACCTACAACTGATATACCACATAGGTGCGCAATTAACTTCCTGAACTTCGAAGGCCAGTGTGTCACAGGGTTAGCTACTGTGATTCCTTGCGATCCTGCTACGGCACGAAAAGTGCGTTTCGCACTGGCCCGCCTGGTGCGTTCCAGCCTGTGTATAATCATAGCGTGAACCTCTAAAAATTTGCTTTTTTTCTGTAGGGATCGGTGCACCACTTACGACACTAATGCTCCTGATCCAACACTTCTGTCTCACCGGTCCGTTTTGCCTTATGTAGGCAAATCTTGTCGCAGATGCTTGCCGGCTCAAACATATCGCATCTCTACGATTGCAACGCTTCCACTTTTTGAAATGCAGGAACGTTGGCATTAAGTATAATTCTTTTCTCTTGCAGAACAGCGAGGTAGAGTCCCAAACTGAATTTTGCTAGCTTCGCTCAAGTCTCAAGTTTAAATCCATACCTTCTGGCAGCAATTTACAATGATTCATTGTGCGCGACCCTTGCATTTTAATTTTATCTCCCGCGGATGCCTAGGTGCCGCGTACAGACGCTTTAAAAAATACGCAAATTTTTTGCCGAAATGCGACCTCGGGAACCACACGAGCTAAGGGCTGAAACTTTGTAGGAATATTCCCTGTTCATGTGCTAGATAAAGTTTTCAAATTCAACTCCAAGCTATGCGTAGTACTCACGAAAGGGCGTATGAAAGTTTCTGCGGGAAAATTACTGACTCGTGAACCAGAAGAGCTAGAAAGTTGAAATTTTAGGGGAATGTTCCCTGTTCAAGTACAACTTAAGTTTCTCAAATTCAGCCCTAAGGTATGCGTGACCTTATGTACGGACACTTAAAATTTTGGCGGAGAAAATTCTCACTGAACAACTAGGTTAGTTTTAAGGAGCGACCGTTAAACGGAAATTGTACGTACATTTACTTTATGCAAAATTTATGGTCATTTATGCTAGTGACCGCAAAAGGTAGGTGTAAAGAGACAACCCTTCATGCAGTTAATGACCTGAGTATTTCACGTTCGGTGCAAAAAATTATGATCGCATGGGCCCGCTCGGTGCGCTCCAGCCTGGGTTTGGAACTTAAGCTAGATAAAGAAAAATTTCTCCGCTGTGTAATTTTTACTTGAAACTGCAGAAAATCACTAGTAAGCAATAATTCTTGCACCGCGTAGATCACTGAACTTCTACTATTTTTTAGGTGTGCAATTTAACAAATTCGCCGGATTTTACATATGTATTCGATCG